CTGTCTCGCGCTTGATCGCGAGAAGAGGATCTTCTCGTTACCGAAACTATCGCCAACGATAGTAGAGAGAGAGAGAGATAGAAATAGATAGATAGATAGAGAGAGAGAGAGAGAGAGAGAGAGAGAGAGGCCAGACATGTCAGTACCGAAAAAACATCGAGTTTGAACATATTTGTTAATTTTGAAAACATTCATATGGATATCGAATGAATAGTCAATATATTGAATAAAATATCGAATAATCCTTACTTTTAATGAAAGCTATTGTGAAGCCTTTGCAATACTTTTGTTTTTAACACAATAAAGATTGTGAAAGAAATATTTTATTATTGTATTAAAAGAAAATTATTAAAGATTTATTAAAGAGAAAATATTCATTTATTATAATATAAAATCTTATAAAACATTGCACATACAGAATGTCCTATTTTAATGAAAACAGCTGTATATCTTGACGTTGTGCGAAAAAATATCTCAGATAAAAGTTTCAAAGTTTCAACTAAATGAAACATAAAAAGTGTTTTACACAAAAGGTTAAAAAAAATATTTATTCAACTACGCCCCATTATTCGAAAATAATTATTTTCGAAACTTTATATTTTGTACTCCCTGTATGAAAAATATTTTCTATAAAACTTTTCTATAAAACTTTCTTGCATAAAACATTTTTTTACTTTTCATTTAGTTTACGAGATATATTGAAAAAAGCGAAAGCCTCTGTATCTTTGAAGAATGGTTTCTTTAACCCATGCTTTTCTGGCCCAAGTTCTAAGACTTAAAATTTTCGGAATCGTGAGATTACGCCACTGAATCATTACGAATGAATTCTCTAGTCATGGAGTATAAAAATTTGCAACTCGTGGTGTAAGGAAAAGCACCTTTAGATTGAGTTTCGTAGCGCTTGAATTTCATATCACAACGCGCCGCGCATTTTCATTGTGCGGCGGCGTTTATTTAGCGCTGCCGTCGTTATGAACCGAGAGTTTAGTCAGCGGATATAAAAAGGATTATGTCCGACGATAATGCCGCTTTTACCGTTTCGTATATATTTCGTGGCATTTTATATTTCACGCCGGCGATATGCTCACATTTTCACGCCGACAGAGTTTATCTAATATTGTTTCAGTGTTATCAATCGTAAGATGTATGTTTCGTATCCTCTCCTGTAAGGTTGGAAAAAATATTTTTTTTTTCTTTCTTCAATTCTGCGTACACGCAATTAATATCTTGTAATTATTGGGCAAAGCTCTTAACTCGGAGAATTTTGAGATCTCCGCTACCCTACTGCTAAATTTTCCGATGGCACGATATATAAAATAATATCACATATGATAATAAATGTATCGTGTCAAAATGTCATAAAATCGTGCGGTTATAAATAACAAATTTTCGCGATACATTCCGCGGAGCGATAAATTATAAATTTTACATTTCGTGTGCTACGCAATAATTCTATCGCAGTGTCTCGTGTCGATAGCGATACAGAAAACGCCGTGATTGCACTGAATTAAAATAGATGAACAGATCGCCATAGATGTTCAAAAATTGTGTCGAACAATGCCTCGACAAAGACTTTCGTCGAATCAATCGCGGTTACTGGAAGGTCTTTAATGAAAAGCGCGATAATTGCAGCTCGACACGAGTCGACACGATGTTTTTGATAAAAGCAATCTTATTAACTCTGCAGTTCCCAGCATTTCCTCCTTTTAATTCCCTCTCCTCCGTTCCGTCGCGCATCGTTTTGACGTGTTAGATTTCAAATGAGCGTGTACGCGCCACAAAGAAAAGCCAAACGTCAAGTTTTTCACACGATGGACAGAAGGAAACAGTCGGCCATACCGCCGAGCCAAAAGTGCTTGAAAGCACACGTCGCTCGTAATTGGTGATAAAGAAAAGTCAGGGGAGAATGAGAGGGAAGAGAGAGAGAGAAGAGAGCGGAGGAGAATTCGATAAAGACTCGACTGTGGCGCACTAGCGGACGCTACAGGGCAATTACAAGGTCAACGGGCCAAGGAAAACGTCGTCCAGATACTCTCGACTCGAGGTCATCGTCTCTGCGGAGTACTAGCCAAAGAATTTCCGATCCCATACTATGACATCGACTACGAGTCCCGACGCGACTCGAGAAGCGAGAGGAGAAGGCGAGTTTCGAATTCTTAGAAAATTTGATCTATAAAATCGACCGAGCCACCGAGTAACGTCTCTCATACGCTAAAATATTCCATGATCCTCCTTGGAGGATTTCTCCCCGACCTTTAGAATGACTTTAGTATGGTAATATCTAATTAAGATGACCAACTCACCATGAGCTTCTCCCGATCCAGATGAAGCAGATCGCTGCCTTTGATGTCCTTCGACTTGAAGACGTCCGCATAGCGGTACAAGTTTAGGGCTGACATCCATTCAACGACATTTAATGACGTCCATTCACTGACGGGCTGCAAAAGAAAAAAGAAACGAGATCGTAAGTGGGTATCGATGGCATAAGAATCAATGGTGCTAATCGAGCCAAGTTTACTTGCGCACCAAGTATTTCATCGTGTGCGTATATTATATGTACACACACACAAGAAAATATTATTCTACTGTTGAGAAAAGCGATTACACGGCTTGCTCCCTGTTTTTTTTTTTTAAAGTAACGATTGTCTTCAACAGAGAATATTTTTTTGACAATACAATCTTGGAATATACTTATCGATAATTTTAGAATTATCGTATATGGAGAAAGTTTTGCAGTAAAAATTACATTAAAATTATTTTATTTGATAATATTTTTTATAATGCTGAACTATACCGATATTGTAGTACGAATTGGGGAAGACCGGGGTTAGTTGTCACATATCTCAGAATTTCAACTTCTAAGATAATCAATTATTGTGACTGACTGCACATGTGTGTCCACCATGATCTTTTTAATCGTATATTTTGTTTTGTAATAATCAAGATACAAACATGCAGCAACATTGCGCAGCGTGAGAAGGTCACATATAAAATATGTATTTTGGTCAGTAGTTCCGGGGTCTTAACTATAGGCCAATTTTACCTCATCCGTTCATATATTCCACTTCAATCATCATATGAATGAATAACTTTATTCTAACAACACGTTGCTTAACTTTATTCATTCACAATAGAAAATATTAATTACAAAATTTCATAGGGTTCAAACATTTGCTACTAATCAGTATTTTTTTAAATTTTTTTATTGTAACATTATCCTGATTTTAATGAAATTCAGGGAAAGGTATCTATGTTCTAAAAAGATTATTTCGATTTTATATTATTCCTCTCAAGACAAATACTAGGAAAAGCACATGAATATATGATACCACTGGGCCATCTAGATCCCGATTTAATGTGAAATATTTTGGTCATTACACACGAATTTTCGTTCCAATTTAATATTCTTTATTGAAATGTTAAACTCACTAGGATTCAAAATGTATTTTAAATAAATTTGATGCGTATGATGGACTTGTGATTGAATAATAATGCATAAGCTTATAAAATACTTGAAATAAGTAATAACCTTTACTAGAATGCACTGTGCAAATGGTAAAAAAGCAAAACAGACACGGAATGATAATCAATGGTGAGTAAACTCGTTCTTAACGTGCGAGACTAATCGATTCTTCGCTCACAGAAGCGAATAATGATTCTCGAAATGTCTTCCGTTCGTCAGTCGTTACACGCGTACGTCTTCTCATCATCAAGATTTTGGAAAGATAAAAGGACGTAACGATTTTCTGACTTTGTCAACTTTCGTTTGCCGATATAGATAAGTTTCTCTCAATTATAGTTTTAATTCCTCTTTAAAAGGAATTGAAACTTGAAAACCGCTTTTTGAAATGACCTACGTAACAAACTAGAGAAATAGTAGTTTGTTAATCGGCTGAACTAGAATAAAAAGGCGAAAGTGAAATAATTTACATTTCTTCGGACACACATCTATTGCGTGCATATGCATAGATGAAGATTGGAGATATCTAACGTTTTCTCAATAATAAGTGGCGCTTTATCGAATTAATCGGAACACTAGTTTTTAAGCTGTCAACATCGCGTTTTTTTTTTAATTAACAGAAATATTTGGAATTATAAATAACGTTATTATAAATAACGTAGCTTCTCAAATAACATTTTACGGTACAATACGGGATTTAATGAGGATTTAATGCTATCCGGCTGCTGCTATCTTGTTGCTAATAACATATATTATCATAATTAAGATAAGCTCTCGATTTAGTAATAATTTTTTTTTCTACAATGAAGAGAAGATATCACGGTAATTCTTGTAATTATTGAAATAAACTATCAATGTTTTCTGGAAGAACGGATACAGCCAAAATTGGATCGTTCGAATGTACTTATGTACGTATTCGGTATTATTCTTTTGATTACGATGCAAGTTATCTCTATTGACGCACACCAGAAATAAGATAAAAGTACTAGTGCCTGGAGACCCAACTCTTATTGTTTGGGTCTTTAAATACAAATGTTTAAACTTTCAACATGGAATATTTGTATCAATTTGATTTATGTATAAACATTCTCTCTATCGGAAGTTTCCAAATACTCGTATATAAAGACCAAAACAATGATTAGGGTCAGGTGTATGTGCAGGTATTGACACTTTTAACTTTAATAGCTGTTTATACATATCGCGTATGTTCTTACTAGATTTTTATAAAAAAGATAAAAAACTTCCTGATTTTTTTGCGAATTTTTCTCTATTCTTCTCCCAAACAAGTGCTATTATCTGGTCAATCCGGTCGAGCAGGATCACGTAAAAGCCACGTGCGCGAAATGTCTCCTGATTTTCTCGATCTCCAAGATAAGGCGCGTTGGATGGGCCGCAGTTTAAGGCACCACGCGGTCCGATTAGATAAATCGCCTTGCGATCGCGCGACGAGACGGAAGGAGGTCGCGAATAGAGGGGTTGGCGGGGAAGAGAGAAGAGGAGAAGCCTCCATGTGCCGGCCACTATCGGGTCTGATAAAGCAAAAGCGTAAAAAGCGAGGGAAAAAGAAAACGTAACCTCCCTCCCGTCGTAACCCCGAGTCCGCGATCGTGATGACAGCCGCGAGATAAGTCCCGTCGTCCTCGTCCGAATAATCCGTGCCAACCGCGCGTTCGATTAATCGCCGTCCAGATCACTCCCATCGCTATCTCACGCTATCCCACGGACGGCGAGAATCGAATCGCAAATTTTTACGGCTCTAGTCGTCAGTTTAGCGTGTTCGTGGAACTGACTTTGCGGAAATCCGGTCGTGATGAAGTACCGAAACACTTTCGTTGGAAAAGACAAGTTTCGTGAGGAACTCTTCGCGTAATACCAATTGAAATCAAGGACGATTGAAAGAACCATCGTTTCATTTCGGTGAGTTTAATCCTTATCCAGACAAGCTACTAAATACTGGGAAGCCACTTTTCTTGTATATTAACTTTTAAAGGGACGTATTATTCGTATTTAAGCACTTTCAATGACCTTGCATTTCTTCTAAATCCGAAATCTCTAAGGCTTCATACATACAGACGACATTTTTTGTATTTTGATGAAACCGTTAAACCGAACAAACACACGGAGACGGTTAACAGTTAATTTTTATATTTTAGGTATGTTTATATTTTATGTATATTCATGTTTTTGTATAAAATTAATTTTATTCATTCATTCAAAAAGACTTTTGTATGATATATTAAAATGTTTTTTTATGTTATTTAGTATTATTCGCTTATGCAAGAATACATGATTTTCATATGCCGAAATAATTCGATTTTTTTCAAGATACCATAATAAACTATTTTTGTTATTTTTTTACGATCATAAATATAAAATCGCAAACCCTTTCTTTTGACAAAAATGACAAAAGTTCTTATTCAAGAAACAATTATAAAATCATGTACAACTTTATTTTTATAAGGTAACCTCATAATCTTTCTCTCCCTCTCTCTCTATTAGTTGAGATTTGAAAGAAGCCATGAATTTTTTGCACAATTTTAAGTTAAAGAAAAAATACGTCAAACACGAGTGAGCTCCCTCTCCACTATTAAGGTGCAGAAAGTACTATTTCAGCGTAAGGATTAAATGTTAATTCACAGTTATATCTAATAATTAATGACTGCTAATTTGTGTACATTATTTTTACAAAAAAACAGAACAGTGTATAAACTAATTTACTTGAGATGTTTTGCCCAATGTGTTATAAATGTAGTTTGCCAGAATACGATTGTGTTTACGATCATATGATCAATTTTGCATGTTATTCGTCCAACTTTACATGGGAATGTCTCGCACAATGACGATTGAAGTGATAGTTTAACGATTATACATCCATCCTAAAGACCGAATTCCTCTCCTAGTCATTGTCTCCTGGAACAAGTCGTGTGAGGAAAGGCATCGAACTTACTCGATCCGTTCAGCCGTCTGTGAGCCATTTAACATGCCATCGCCGTGAAAGACGATGCTCAGCTTTTTTTACGTTAATGAAAATATTTAAGAAGCGACTAATTGCTCTCCATGTTCACGATTGATTTTATTGTAACTTTTCTCCAGAAGTCTCAATTGAACGATAGCATAAAGAGGTAAGAATTATGACTTACGTAAGGTAATTCAGATAAGTATTCTCGTACTGTATTACTTTATCGGCAGAATATGCGCGCAATCGTGCATCGACGTTTCACTCATTTCGGCCTGCTTGCTTCAGCTCATAAAAAAATGAGGACAATATTCGGATCCCTTTTTTCTCCCTCGGTTTTATGTCGAACGCCGTCAAATTTAGGTCGTTACGCCATCGGGCCTCGAGCAGGTCTCGCCCTGATAACGAAACGTCGTTCGCGCGGTTTATGTAAAAGCCGCGGCTAGATACACGGATGGATTTTCGTGGCCGGTAGGTAGCGGCGTGGTTACAGAAATTTTCTTATGCCTGAATAGATCCTTCTCCCTTATATGGAGGCGTAAAATGGACAAAGTCACTGAAGCAGATTCTCTCGAGCAGTTCGAGCCATCAACTGCTCGAAAACTACTTAGTCGAAAAATTTCCAGATTTTATTAAGCTGATACCCGAAATATCACAGTAATCCCTGACAATTGATATTCTTTCGCCACACAATGCATATACATACTTTAACCAAGCGATAATAAGAGATATTTTAAGTATTTAAAAAAAGGTTGAAACATCTATCTAGACGAGGAAAATTCTGAGGAAAATAGAATGTTTTCTAGCCGTTATGAAGAATGCTTTGTATACAAATGGCACATTTACAATGCTTCAATTTGCGTATGAAACATAATCGCATAGATAAGTCCTTATCACAAGATATGTTACTTTCGAGCTTCGATCTTTCGATCATTTTCACACGTTTCGATATGAAGTAACTGTTTTATTCGGCTGCTCGGATTGCTCGCCTCGAACATTGTGCAAGATTTCTGCGCGCTTTTGTTTCACCGAACTGTGATAGTGCATGCGCGAGAGATAATTCGGTCGGTCTAAAAATGTCACGAAACGTCTGTGTACGAAAGCTACGAGTTGCGAGACGAGCCGGCCGATGTTGCAGAATATCAGATACGCCACGCAAAATAAAGCCGTGTAATCAATGATATATCGCTAAAGAATATTCAGTGTAATAACTACACGATGATTTAAGCACGACATGAAGTCGAATCTATAATGCAATAAAAACGCAGAAAATTTACACGTCCGTTGTTTTTAGATTGAGTTGACTTGCACTTTGTCTTTAAAATGTAACGAGTATAAAACATTCAACGGAAAAGTAACAAAGTTCTTCTAGGATAGTACTAGTTCAGTCAACATGAACACAGAAAAATATCATTCTACTGCTAAGAAAAACGATTACTCGCTTGACTTTCCTTCTTTGAAGTAATGATTATTTTCAATAAAACATATTTTCTCGATAATACATAGTCTTAAGATATACTCCTCAGAAATTTTAGAAATTTGAGAAAACTCTATAATCATCTACTCAAAAGAAAAATTTATCCTCTTTCTAAGAATATGATAAAACTTTAGTTTATAGAAAAAGTTGGTTCGTCTCTATATAGTAAGCAAATCATCGAAGTTTGGTTTTAACTTAATGTGAAATGCTAAATATATTAACATTCAAAATTACTTTCAGAGATAACAACAGTTTTATCTTTGCAATCAATAATTTTGCATTCATCCATAAATAGAATATTATACACATAAGATTTTCAGTAATCTTGCTCCTCTCACACATTTACGAAGTATCCCGAAGCTGGGAAATCTGGTTAGTTTCTGTATTTCCAAGTGCAAGTATAAATATAATTGAGGAACATAGCACACACATAGCATTAACGTACCTTGTCTTCGTCGTGAACCTGGCCCGGCAACGCGTGACCCTTGGTACTCCATTGGCACAGATGCTGGCCACTGTAGTCCGAGCATACGACGTGGAAGCACGCATGGCACTCTGCGGGACATAGAGAACCACACATGCAGCAACATAGACTGTTATCGTCGCGCACCATTCGCCGCGTGGCCGCGGCCAGCCCTTCGAAGGTGGCCGCGGCCCTAATCTTGGCGCGACCGCCAGCGATCGAGTTCGCGTCGACGTCTTCCGTCACGGTAAGCTGCTGCAGCTGCTGCTGCGCACCGCACCAACACATGTGCCGATGAAAGGACACCGGTCTCGCGCACGTGATAAACCCGAGCTCGCTCTCGACGCCGTCCGACGACGCGGGCGTCGCATCACCGCGCGTCGCCGCCGCTCGTGGCAGCAGTTGCAGCTGCTGCTGTGACTGTTGCTGCTGCTGTGACTGCTGTTGCTGCTGTGACTGCTCCTCGAGTTGCGCCGTTGCTCCCTCTCGGTGCTGCCTCGTCGCCGAGGCGACCACCGGCGTCACTTGGTTATTATTACCAGCAGCAGCAGCAGCAGCAGCAGCAGCAGCGTACCACCTGGGTGACGCGTGACTCGCCGACGACCTGGACGTCGCCCGCGCGACGTCGTACAACTGACCGACGTGGTCGGCCGTCGTGCCGTTGCCGTACACGAGGATCTGCCGCTGCAACTGCACACTCGACGAGCCGTTCAACGATGGCGCGGACGACGGCGAGGTGGTGGACGACACCGCGGCACCGTTGCTCGTAGCCGTCGTCACCGTCGCCGTTGCTGCCGCCGCCGCCGCCGCCGCTGCAGCTGCCGCAGCCGCAGCGGCACCCTTGCGCAGCATGTAGTTGTCGGAATCGACGGCTAATAATCGCGACATGGCCGTGGATTTGGCTTTGCTGTCGTCACCACTTCCGGGGCTGCCCTTCGGCGAGCCCTTCGGCTCGAGCCAAGAGGATATCGTCGTCGCGGCTTGCCTATCCTGCTCATCAGCAAACGCCGACGTTCCACTGTTGATCGTCGTGTTCGCGCTGCTCATCGTCGTCGTCGTCGTCACCGTCGTCATCGTCGTCGTCGTCGTTATCGTCGTCGTCATTGCCGCCATCGATCCTGGAGCGAAGAGCTCCGGGATCCTGGTCTGATGGTGCACCTGCGTCGCGGCGGCCGTTGCGGCCGCGACGGATGCGCTCGTGGCACGCTTCATTGTCGCCGTGGCCGATCATTAAACACCCCGGCGAGACTAAGTCTTCCTCGGCGACACTGATATGAACGCGTTGCTACTCCCATGCGAGTCATGCTCCTCCCGCGAACCATCCAAGTCGTCCGACATCCTTCCAAGTCCTGGACAATTGCGCGCTACGATCCCGACATTGAGGACCGTCAAGGTCGCTCGCGTGACGACCAGCCGCGGCGGAACCCTTTCGGCACTCGTGTCGCCAAAAATGTCGAGTTCGTTGATCTTCCGACTGTGAGGATCCGAAGAGACTCTTCAAGGTCGCCACGAGTATGGCATATTTATCCGACGCGTTGTGTGATACCGGGATGGTCACTGGTATCGCTCTCTCGCAATCGAGACCTCGATTCTTCGAGATCTCACAGCGTGGCCGATGTCTGGCCAACGATTCGTCGTTATCGCGACGCTCTCGTCGTTATTATTAATAGAGAGATCGTGCGGATAGACTGATAGCCGAATAACACGAAAGGTATAGAGAGAGAGAGAGAGAGAGAGAGAGAGAGAGAGAGAGAGAGAGAGAGAGAG